CTCAAGTGGAGATAATATCAGTAATACAAAGATGTTAGAATACATCACATAATTATTGTTGTCTTGTAGACACAATAACATAAAGATATTTTAAGAAGTATTTTAAAATTATTTCTTCTCTTTAAGCTTCATTTAAATCTCAAATTGTCACTTAAAATGGTAACAAAGATGATACATGCCATTGATTTAGTTGTTTTATTTATGATTTTGTTTATACATATGTACTTATATAACATTTGTTTTTCTAGCATCATCTATATGAATTTCTTGTATTTGATTGTAAAGGTTCTCAATTTCTTTACATAAATCTAAGGGAAAATATGATCTATATACTGTAACATTAGCTACTCGTGTTATAAGTCTTTGCATCTAAGATTACAAGATAAGAAGTCTGTAAGTAATCTTTAGTTATCTTGAAGATTATGTGAAGAGAATATCAATAATACAGAGATGCTAGAAGGCATACCCTACGTCTGGGATAAGCACAAAAGTGTGGCTTGATAACTGGATACCGGTTTGCCCACCGAGACCCGCTTTGGATATAATGAAGAGAGAGACTTGGACATGTATGTACATCACTTAATTTACCCAGCTACATCTGAATGGAAGATGGACCTTGTTCAACAATTGGTTGATCCGGAAGATATTCCGCGTATAAAGAGCATCAGACCAAGTAGGTCATACAAACAAGACAGATTTGTGTGGGCTTACACAAAATCTGGTATGTATTCTGTAAAAACTGATTACGAACTGGCAGTCCAAATGAGAGATGAAGAAGGTTTTCCACGGTCACATAACCTAACTTTACCCCTCTGAAAAGTAAAGTATGGGGTCTAAAGACCCCTCGTAAGATAAAATACTTCTTGTGGCAGGCTCTTTCGGGTAGCATGGCTACCAACAGCCAACTAATGTATCACCATTGTGGGACTGATAGCCGATGTCAACGTTGTGGGGCTGAAATAGAGTCCATCAATCATGTACTCTTTGATCGATACACTTTGTATGGATCACCCCTTGACCGATAGCCTCCGTGCACAGACCGAAAAGCTCTGCAGAGATCGTCTGCCTTGGTCCCTTTAGCTCCTTTTCGTCCAGCTAGCTTCTTGGATCATCCCCAAAGCTCCTTCAAGCTCCTTTTAGCTCCATAGGCACCTAAAAACATTCATAATGCAAGAAAAATGCAAAATATATCCTAAATGCAACCTAAATATAAAAGGAAAAGAAAATGGGACAAAAACTAAGGAAAACATGCAAAAGAGAACCAAAACATGTACTAAATGCAAGCCTAAATGGTGTAAATACAAGGGATATCAACTAGCCAAAACAGATTTGAAATCTATTTCATTTCCTATGAAGTATACAAGGAAAAGTTTATGGTTAAGTAATGTATTATAGTGAATATATACATCTTGAAATTTGCTAGACCACTTTGTAATACTTCATAGAGTTAAAATCTCTTGAAAAGAGATGAGTATTTGGACCAGTTGTCCATACACCTAAGGGTGTAAAACCAATCAAATATAAGGAAGACTTTATATGAAGGAATGATAAATGTAAAATTAAATATGAAGAAACAAACTTTTGTGGTTGATGCAACTACTTTCAAGTTCCTTATCAGTCTCACAATAGGTGAAGAACTTGACATATACTACCCACTGGATAATGATACTTAAATAAAAATCCCAAAAGGATAATAGCTTTGAAGGATACAAATTCCCGAAGGATTAAGATTGTCAAAATTATGTTCCTGGAGATTCTAATTATTCGATCGAATTAAGACAAAAAAAAATGTTTTATATGGAATAAGTGAATATTATAAGGTTAACCAATATATCCATATGTATTTACCAAAAAATTATGGATCAAGAGGATCCTAGATTTGAATATAATAAAATCTCTTAAAGAGTTATCCCAAGTTGTAATTTGAAAGAAAAATCTTTGGAAAGGACAACATTGTCTTCAAATGTTCAAAATGAGATATCTAAGTGATAGAGATATTGTCTCAAATGATCCTTGTAGGATTTTATATAGAGAATGCTCACAATATTTGATCCTAAGTATAATACATAAATTGCTAGTTTAGCAATGTATTTATTTATTTCATGATTGAAAGATATGATTTAGTATAACAAGAAAGAAAGCTAAAATAGTAAAAAAGAGCATGAATAACATCTTATGTATAAATATGTTCTATACAAGTTTAGAATGTTGTAAGTAAAATAAAGTTTGGATTTAAAGTTCAAAAGACCAAGAAATGGTTGTTTATATGAAAAAGTTGTTATGGATAAAAAGTCCAATAACCTAAGAGATTATAATATAATCATATAAGTTTATTCATTAAGCTTTACTTATAATTATCCCCCAAAGATGGTACATATGATTGGAATGCTTCTCCTGAAGAAGATACTTCCAAGGGGAAGAAATATGATGATGTGTGCGGTTGTACTCTTTTTCCTTATCATGGTTTTTATCCCATTGGGTTTTTTCATGAGAGGTTTTAATGAGGCAACAAAGAACACACAAATGATAGACATCTAAATAGAAATGTAAAAATGAAAATTTTATCACCCATCCAAAGTATTTGTCATACTTTAATAAGATCAAGACGAATCATTGACAAGAGTCATGTACTGCGGAAGAATGGTGATGTATGTATCCTACAAATTCATTCATGTGAAGACTCGACAGACAGATTTACCAAGGCGTTACTTTTCAAGAAGTTATTTCATCATACTAGATTGCGTCATCTGAAAGATCTCAAGTGATGTAGTCATGAGGGGAGTTAATGCGCAATGCACTTTTTTTCCTTAGCTATGGTTTTTTATATTGGGTTTTCCTAGCAAGGTTTTTAATGACGCAACATCGTACAAGTTTTAGAGAATAGTTTGTATAATGAACATCAATGAGGAGTGTTATAAAATATTATGGTATGTCCATTATAAGCCCATAACGCCATCTTCTAGAAGATTTTAGAATTACTTGTAAGGTAGGTTTTACTTTGTCACCAAGTAAAACCCTCTTTCTATACTCCTATATAAAGGATCACTTATACATTGGAATAAGACAATACCAATTCCTTCTATCTCTTTTCTCTGTTCACAACAACAACCAAAAATAGATATGAGTAATTAAAAAAACATACATAAACTTAGAAAAATTAAAGACAAAATAATCGACTGATGAAATAATCAAAGAGAGAAAATAATGGAGTTAGTCAAGATAAAGAATTGATGAATAATTCAAATGACTTAGCTTCTATACCTTAGATGCGGTTAGTTTGAATGCTGCTATTTGACTGTACACTAGCTTTTAGTTGTCTTGTTCTTGGACGGCAATAGTGAAGATATTTGGATGGGCTTCACTTGGTAATATGGGTCAGTTTTCTTGAATCTTCGTCTTTGGCCTAAGATCTTGCTCTTTGGCATTTTCAAAGGGTTTGGTCCTTTTGAGCATATTAGTACAACTATCTTGATCCTTTTTGAATATAGCCTTTGTTTGGAATTTCGTTAGGCGTAAATCAGACGTTCGATCTGAGCCTAGCGATTTTTTTAAAAAATTGAAAATAAATCAGAGAGGATTTTTTAAATAATTTAATAATTTTATTCAAAACATATTAAAATTAAAAGTATTTATGTATAAATTCTTTTAATATTCATACAAATACTAAATATTTTAGGGTTTTAATAGTTTTTATATATATATTATATATATGACCTAGCAACCAAGAAACAAGTATAGTGTAGTGGCTATCAATTTGTTTTGCAATTTATCTTCTTTTTCTTTGGTTTTTCTTTGTATATGTACCAAAATCAACATATTTATTAAGTTTTTGGATTTTTAGAACAAAAAAAGCAAAAAGAAATGATTTTTTTTTCTCAAAACTGCAAGGTTTTGTCTGATTTCAGCATGATACGGCGGTTGGTGGTTGATGAGCATCTTCTCGCCGTTAAATCGGCTGACTCAGCCGCATTTTTGAACAGGGAATATAGCTAAGTTGTATTTATGTTGTAGTGAACGAACTCTTTGCCTGGTCATGACTCCCTCATTTGGAATCAGCATCTCTACTTCTTGTGAATTGAAATTGTGATTAGTCAAGCCCGGTTCAGCTTGTAGATTTTCCTCAATTTCCCATTAAAATATTGGTAAATTTACCATTGATAACCCACTAAAATTATCCTGCTTTTTTTTCCTGGTGGTCGATCAACAATGATCGCATTACTAATAAACTATCTTTATATTCTCATTAATTCATACTAGTTGCTAGAGTGGCTATATCTCAAGCCTTTTAAAGTAAGGTAAAATGTGTTGTTTGAAAAAAACAAATATTTAGTACGAAAACATCATATTTAAGTAAGAGTTTGTACACTAGTAAAAAAACTGCCTATAGATACGGAAGATTTCGTGACTAGGGCAAAAAAACTGTGACTATATGGTCCTATAGCCATGAAAAGTTATGAAAAGAAATCGTATCTATAGGATCGTGACTAAATATGGTTTGTGGCTTTTCTTTGGCTAAATAGTCACGAATTAGTCATTGTCATTTCGTGTTAATATTATTCATTATCTATTCACGCAACTATTCGTGTCTTTTTGACCACGTCATGTTCGTGGCTATTTCGTGACTAATATTGCCACGAAAATACAAATGGCTAATATGTGACTAAGTAGCCACATTATTTTTTGTTAAAACTGTGGATATATGGCTAGTTATTAATTTCGTTACTAATCAGTAATCTTGTGACTAATTACCAATATTTGATTTTGGTGACTAATTACCAACATTTGTAATCATAAAACCTATATCATACCATAACAAAAGCAATAAATCTGAAATCCGAAATCTAAAGCCAATATCATACATAAACATAAACCAAATAATTTTTGTATTTAACAACATTCAAACAAGCAGCACATTTATACAACATTACAACATTTAAGTTTAACAAGTTCATAAACAGAATAAAAGAGTTACTCTCCTAAATAAGCAGCACACCACTTACCTAATTGAGTTTGATTGTCTTTGGTCATTGTAAGTGTAGAACCTTGAGCCGAGTTTGTGGTATTGGCAGGAGGAACAACAGCTGGAGGAGGAGAAGGTGTAGGCGCAGCAGCATGAGTCTGAGAGTCTGCAAACTTTTCCAGGAATACGAATAGTGCGGCTCTTGTGGCCACTAGCTCCTCCTTCATATCATCCTTCATCGCCACCACATTTCCCTTGAGTTCAGTCATGTGTGACTTGAGAGTTTCGACGTTGCTCTTGACAGCTTCAGAATTAGTCTCCAAACTGGAGATATGCATGTCTGTATCAATAATGCGTCTAAGAGATGCATGGACTGGCTCAATAGGAATGAAATCCATGTGCTGCACACTGCCTATTCCAGATACTCGGCCTCGGCTTCTCTTACTTCGTTGTAAAAAAAACAATATCACTAAGTAAATATAGCAACTCAAGTCCAAAACAATTCATATACCAATAACTAAACACAAACCTTGCTGTAAAAACAATCCTATATCACTAAGTAATTATCAAGTCCAAAATATCATAAACACAAACCACAACTATCATAAAATCATATAAGACACAACAACAACTCAAGTAAATGGCAACAAGTCGAAAACGATACGACTGAAGTAAAACGATACAAAAGTAAATGGCAACAAGTAAATGATACAACTCAAGTAAATGGAAGCTAGTCAATAAAATGGTATGACTCACGTAAATGGCAAGAAGTATACGTTACAACTCAAGTAAAATGGCAACAAGTAAACGATACAAGTCAAGTAAAATGGCAACAAGTCAAAACGATACAACTGTCAATAAAATAAGCCACTAGAAGAATGAGTGAGTACCTTGAGAAATTCTTGGTTAAGGAGAACGCGAGCAGGAGTTGCAGCAGTTGAGGTGCTTTGGCTGGCAGAATTAGTTGTCATCAGTGTTACGAATACCTCTACGTCAAGGACAAGTTATATAAGCAGCAATGCTTATATCAAGAGGAGATACAATGGAGAGGAACTAGAACCTGTCATGCTTGTAGCTGAGGAGCCAAGGAGATTCAAAACCCCTTTCAAAGCATGTAAAGGAGTATCAACGAACCAAAGGGGATTTATTTATCAAGAAAAGCTTTCATACATCCAAAGGAGCCACCGGTTCTATTTAAAGAAGAAGAGAACCGAGATCAAACCACTAAAGAAGCAAACCATGCGCCTAAACCTATTTTGGAGCCGAATAAGGAAACTTGGAAAAGCAATACATTTTATTCGACCCACCTTTCTATTCCACATCTTCATAAGACTTCAGAAGATAGACAAGCCAATATACAAGCCAGAAACCGGAGTTACTTGATACAAACCAAGGGAGAACCGCCAAATTCAACATATGGACCTACATGTACGTATTCGGAGATATTCAAAGAAACAAGGAGCATGGTTTATACCAACATCTTATTCACTCGTCCTTTGACGTTTACAGAGTTTACCAAGATTTCTAAACCGCCTGATCAAGTCAATAGCCGATTTCAAACCAGCCAAAATTAAGGTGCTATCACCAAAGAAGCATTTACCATATTTGGAACTAATTTACTGTACTTGGTTCAAAGATATGTGAAAACCAACGACCATCTCTCTCACTTAATACCGACCACTCATCAGGAAAACTAAGAAACAGTCTATAATGGTTGCTCCACTAATCTTGGTTGAAGATACAGAAAGTCACTCGGTTGACAGCGAGGGAAACAAGAGGAATGAAGAAGGGCAGAGACTGGATCAAGATGGGAATGCCATAGTTGAACAGGCGGTTCAAGCAGTTGCACAAGACGTTGGAGCTCATGCTGCTGCTAACAACGCTGCTGGGCGTTTTGTTCAGAGGACTCTAAGAGATTACAACAAACCTGATCAGTTCTATGCCAACAGAGCTGCAATCCGCCCTCCTGCTTTCCAGATGAATGATTTTGAGCTCAAGCCTGCTTATTATCAGCTGGTGGGACAGCATCCTTTCCATGGCTTACCTCATGAGTATCCTATGGATCATATTGAGAGGTTTGAGGATTTGACTTCAAGTGTCAAAGCTAATGGAGTTAGCTATGACTTTCTATTCTGCAAGTTGTTCCCTTAATTACTCACTTGGAGGAGATGCTGCTTAGTGGCTCAAGCAACTAGAGCCTGGTTCACTGACCACTTGGGAGAGCACCAAGAATGCTTTTCTGAACAATTTCTATGATGATGCTAGATCAGAGGACCTGAGGACGAAAATTGCATCATTCTCCCAAGGTCCTACAGAAGCTTTTAAAGCTTCTTGGGTGAGATTCAAGTCTTATCAAAGGGACCGTCCTTATCATAGTTTCAGTCAGGTGCAGCTGCTTGGGATTTTCTTCAGAGGCATTGACTGAAAGTATCAGATGGCGCTGGATGCTGCTAGCAATGGGAACTTCAACACCAACCTTCCAGAAGCTGCAATAACTCTGATTGAAAACTTGGCCTGCAGCAACAACACCTAGAATGCAGATTTTCAGAGGATGAAACAAGCTGGTTTGAATGATGGGAATCAGATTGCTGAAGTCAAGGCTAAGCTGGACAGTATGCACAGCCTCTTGGTGGGAAAGAAGTTAGTCCACTTTGCTGCAGAGGTAGAGACTTTCGAAAATACAGAGGAGATTGAGCAGGAAGATGTGAATTTCATCAATGCTGGAAAATTTCAGGGTCAAAGGTATGGGAATCAGCAATGGAACAGAGGATACAACAACAATAACCAGAAGGTACCTTCACAGGGAATCAGAGCTCGCCTTGTTACACACCCAAGCCTCAATTCCAAAAGAAAGAGTTCCATAAACCTTACCAGAACAACAGCAACTTCAACAGGAACTTTGGTTCTTCTTCCTATCAAGCTGCACCTCCACAAGACAACAAGGTGGAAGCTATGTTAGAACAACTCCTAGAAAGACAACAGAAGCTGACAGTAGACTTCAATGGCAAGATGGATTCGTCGTATCAGGACCTGAATGGAAAAATTGAGAGTCTGAACTCTCATATGAAGAAGCTGGATGTTCAAGTTGCTCAAACTGCAGGAGCTGTTCAGAGTCAAGAGGGATTCTTTCCTGGAAGGACATATGCTAATCCCAAACATCATGTGAATGCCATCACATTGAGGAGTGGAAAGAATCTGCAACTGGTGTTGCAGAAGGATTTGAGCTCAGAGAAATACGTTGGACTTGAAGAGTTTGAAGATGATGAAATCTCTGCCGAGAAACAACGAGTGACGATCGTCATCCAGGAGGGGTGTCGCTGGTCACAAACTTTGCAAGCCCCCGACACGAATTCTTCACAAACGAGTGACAACCGTCACCAAGCCAGTGACGCTCGTCACCCACATCGATCAACAGCTGCTTCGTCTGAGACTTCAAAAAATGCTAAGGAAGCAGTGTATAAGCACAAGGTACCCTTTCGTCCCTATTGTCAGAACTGGATACCAACTACAAACGAGAGTACAATAGTAAAAGATAGGCTGTGATTTGTCTGCGCACTTCTGATGGCAAAGTAGTTTAATTTTGGTCAACTGGTCTACAATCAGATTCTTGCCTTTGCTAAGCATCCTGCTTCGGTTGATCATGTCATCCCTTTCCCGAACCTCATCTATCAGCTTTTTACCTTCCAGAGGATTGTGCCAGGACATCGTGGTGATGGTCCGCTGAACGGATATCCTTCCAAGATCACCATGGACCCCAAGGCAGGACGTGGATCTGGCAGAAAAGAACCGGAATGGGTTCCTTCCCTATCCGCTGATCTCTCGGAACTGTCCAAGTCTGTCCGCAAGATACAGCAGTGTCTCAAAGGTAAGTGCTTCTCTCTCGATGTCACTTCTTCTCTATCAGACTTGACCACTGTTTGTTTTTGCCATGAATATGCACTCTAGCAGGGGGAGATTATCGATTTGATCACAAACTGGCGTCACTCAGGAATGTCAATCAGCCAGAAGATTCAGATGACGAGAGTGAGGGAGGAGAGGAGCCTAATGACGGTCTTGGAGGAATACACGAGTATGAAGCGGATGACTAAGATGATATGATCATTTTTTCTGTATCCGAGCGAACACACTTAATGTCTTTTTTTGCGTTTGTAACCTTTCTCGGCTAGCTTCGGTTTTATTTTTCTTAAGCGTTTCTTCGGAACAATCTTAGCTGAAAAGGAATGTGAAGTATGCTTTATCTATCTATCTATGAATGTCTTTTGCTTGAATATGCTGTGATTGCTGTGTATGAGTGTATGCTTTAAGACTAACATGACAGGTAGCTTGAGGTGTCACATTCAGGCAAAAAGGGGGAGATTGTAAGTTCAAGAATCGTGGAACATCTGGAAAGTGTGTTACACACATATGGCGCAAAGACAGAAGAACCTTGGAAATCGGATACGTGGGAATCAAGGAAGATTTAGAATTTACCATATTCGATGGTTTGCGAATATGCGAGGTATCAAAGACACGGCAAGTTTGGCGTGGCGATGGGAGTATAAATACAACAGCTTTATGTAAGTGCTAGGGTTAGCACTAAAAAGGATTATAACACTCTATCTTGGAAGAGAGTTTAGGTACTCTTGGAGCAAACACAGCTGTTGATATGTGGGTAGATTAGAAATTAGTCAGTGTCACATTACAAGTCTATTGAGATCATTGTAAAGATGTATCATTCTGATTAAACAAGTTCTTAAGAATTGTTTAAGTGATTTCTAATAGAGAGTTTTTGGTTACAAGTTCTATTCTATATCTATTTTAATTGCTCGAGTACTTTCAAATATCTTTGGTACTACAGATCTCTCCAGAATTTGGAATTTGGCAGTCTTTAAACTCGGTGGGGGTGGATCTGGAGTACGAACAATTATAAAAGAAAAAGAGATGACAGAACAAAGGGCACAATTAAACTGAATTTTTTTTCTCACCCTGATGGTTACCGAAAGCAAGTGAATAAGATAACTAGTGAAGACAATACTTGAGATCAGTAGAAATATAGACACAAGTCACATAACCCAATTACTTGACAAACAAGAAACATGATGGGAAAACGACTTTGTTGCAAGATAATATGGTACACAAGAAACTTGACTCAAAAACAACACTAGCAGTCTTCAACTGAAAAGCCCTTTCCCTTTTCCATCTCCTCCGGGTCTTTACCCTTTGTTGGCTTGAACCATAAGGCACATATGACATAGACAACAAAGTTAATTCCACTGAGAATGACTAAAAGCCAATAAAATAGATCGAGCCGGCCTTTGTTGATATTATCCGCCAACCATCCTCCATTAATAGGAGTCGTGGTGACCTTTTTGACGACCGAGACCAAGAAACTGCTGACAAAGAAGCCTAATGATAAAGTAGTCAAGAAAAGTCCAGTGCTCATTGTTTTCATTCCTTTGGGTGATTGGGTTATGAAGAAATCAAGTTGGCCAGTGTATATAAAGGCTTCCCCAGCTCCTACTAGAAAGAATTGTGGAATAAGTAAGAATGCACTTATGGGCAATGTTTTAAGTGTACTAGTTTTCGCAACGGATAGACGCTTTTGCTCAACAATGGCTGCAGCTGCCATTCCAGCGGTTGATAAGATCAATCCAATAGCTATTCTTTGCAGGCTAGAGAATCCTGAAATACCAATGCATATCAATGTAGTTTAGAGATAATTATACAAATAGAAATACTCTTAGGAAAATAGGCTATATTTTATGTCGAAACTAACAAAATAATTAATTTTTTTTAAGAGCTAACAAAAGAGTTTTAAATTAAATCATAAATCTTATAAAAACTAAACATGTAAATCCTAAAAATTAACCTCTAAATACAAAAGCTATTTATTTCCCTAATTTTGTAGAAAATCGAGTATTATTTAATTTAAAGATTAAACAATTACTAAAGCATTTTGTTCTTAGTTGTTCCAATATAGATATATGAATGTTATATGGATCTTATGTCACCTGGTTTTCCTTTCCATTTCTTCCAAAGAGGCATGATGGCACGGTCGTAGAAAGCTAGCGATATGAGAATAGCTGCGACGAAAAATACGGTGAGAGAACCTGCTGGGATCTGGAAGTTTCCAACGTTACGTCTCATAGTTGAAGCCTGCTCAACTGAGAATGTAATCATTTGGGCATATGTTGTCCAGAAAATTATGGTCGTTGCCCAAATCGGCAAAAGCCTAACCATCATTTTCACTTCCTCAATTTTAGTCACTGAGCTTAGCTTCCAAGGGTTTGGAATTGCGATGCCATCTATGGTTTGTTCGAAATCTCCTTCTGTAACTATGGCCGCCTTGTCTAACATGCTGCACACAAGAAGTTATATTAAATTTAAAACCAAATAAAAAAAAACAAATTTTATGAAAAATATTAGTTCCGGTTTAAACTGCCCTTAGGTTCAAAGTCTACTTGAGCGGGACCAGAGCAGGTTAATTTTACTTTAATTATCTTTAATTTGTTGTGATAATTTGAAACTTACTGAAACTGATCACTATGTTCAATTCGCACGCCCTCAGGTTTATCTTCATAAAGATAGACAATGCTTTGAGGCAGTTCCGTTTTTCTCTTCCTTAACGCAGCTGCAATAACTTGAAATATTTGCACAACGGGACTTCCTTGGCTCTTCTTATAACGGTACTTCTTAGTCCCAGACAAGAACACCGCAATAGCTATAGCCATAGACACAGTGCAAATTCCATAAGCCCAAGATCTTCCCACGTCATCTTGTATGTAAACTAAAACAGTTACAGCCATCAATGTCCCCATGCTTATGAAGAAGAAGAACCTGCAAGTGCCAATATATTCCAATCTAATATTAACAAAAATGAAAAAAATTATAAAATAATGTTACTTTGCCATTGGAAAAAAGACTTAACCTAACCTGTTAAAGAAGTAAGCCATCTGAGCTTTTTCTTTAGGATCCTTGTCATCAAACTGGTCCGACCCAAAACCGGAGATACTAGACTTAAGGCCACCAGTTCCAAGAGCTATTAGATAAAGCGAAATATAGAGAATTGTCATTTGGAAGGCAGTAGCGGGCGTGCAGGCCTCGCCATGGTGGCATGCCGGCGGACGCAGCTCTGGCAGCTTTGTTGCTATCGCTAGTGCACCGGTTCCCTGTTTGAATTGTATAGAAGATATCAAAACTGTTTCACACTATTATGAGATCCTTTGCAGATGTAATGACAAATATATGTTTCTTTTTCTAGTGAATGTTCTTCAAGTAGTGTTTTAATCAGGATGTCTCAAATTATTTATACATGTCAAATAACCTTACTCCTCGAATTTATTATTATATATATTTCAAATTTTCTTTCTCAAATGGTAAATTATGGCATCTGGAATTATGTTGAAATATAATAGTATCCGTTATTTTTAGATTATTGAATCCATATATTGACCATGGTTATGATTAGAAAAAATAAAACTAAAACCGTATTTTCCAAAGTCTTACCAAAGCTTGAATGGTTGAAAAAATAGCGATGGTTTTGAAACGGCCGAGGAAAGTGTCAGCGAGAAAGCCACCCAACAAGCAGAGAAGGAAGGAAGTGCCCATGAAATCAGTGACAATGTTGGCAGAGCTTGAACTTGGGAGATGCATTGTCTCCATCAAATATGTTACCAAATTCACTGCTATTCCCATAGTTGATAGCCTCTCGACAATTTCTATTCCTGCAATTTTTGTTTTTAAAGTTTTTTTTTTGTGCTGTCAAAACTTGTATGTTATAAGATATTTTTCATATATTCAAGTATCTTGGGAAGATAATATTCAACTAGTGTTGTGCTTTTCCTTTTTTTTTTTTCGTTTCAGTTCAAAACCCAGATTTTTATACAAGTAGTAAATGACTCAAGGATTGATTTCAAAATATTGCTAGTTTTGGCTTAGCCGTCAGCCGTGAGTTTGAAACTCGGACTAAACTTATAAGATTCATAGAAATTTATAAGTTTTTGCCATTAAAAATGTTTACAGAATCTTAATAACCACTAGTGTATTATAAAATAGTTCAAATATTACAAATAGATAATTTTAATCTTTGAAGCCCGCATCAGCTAAACAAGTTTGAGAGTTGAAAGGTAATATTAATACGAACATGACTGGACTGACACAGTAATAAACAATAGATCTTTTACAATTTATTTATTTTAGTAAACATATATCAAACTGAGATTATTTCATTCATGAGTAAGTTCTGGCTGTAAAATGTTAATTTGTTTCTTTTCACGAAGAGTAAGAGACCAGTACAAATGCGTTCTCGTTTTTAAATGTAGAAAACAACGAGGAACGACACCAAAATCTGGATTATCCGGACTATTTTAGTTAAAACAACTGTTAATATGTGTAAAAGAATATTGAGGAACAAAACCAGAGGGTCGGCGTTTTTATGAATCCTAAGTAAACACGTGAATACACAGATACATCTATTTTTCTTCTCTTTCTAATCTCAATATTATTTATTTATTAAATTGTTGAAAGGGAAACTATTATTGCACTATATAATTGGAAAAGTGAGATGGGGAGCCATGTGGCGTGTCTCTTTTCCCTTTATCTTTCCTTCACTCAGCGTGATGTAGAACAACGACATATCATATTTTTATATAGAAGCAGACTTATTTCTATCATATCATGCGTGAGTGTGACCTATTTGACATTGAAACTCTTTTGCTCCTGACCATGTATTTACATATTGTCTAAATTAAAACTTATACGCATCAACTACCACCCTCGTGATTAAATTTAACTAACTACGTATACACATCTACCACCCTCTGCCAATATTTGCACGACATTATGTTTTCCCTATATGTTACCAGATATAAAATAATATAAAATTATATTAGTTATGCATGTAAGAAATGAAGAATTTGAATTCAAAAAAAAAAGAAAGAAAGAACGAGAGTTGAATAAAATTGTGTAAAATGTATGTAGTCAAATAAAGAAGAAGATTACGAATTAGTTTAAGACATATGAGTAAATTTTACACATATCTTCTTATTGATGATGCATATGGTTATATCGATATGTATATTTGGACAAATAGTATATTATCTTCAAATGCACATAAGTATAGGTAAAGTAGAGAAGAAGAACAATGGAGACTACGAACCAAACTTTTTGGTAAACCAAAAAAGAAAAGGGTTCAGAAGAAGAAGACGAACCAAGAATGAGAGCTGCAGTGATCCAACCACCGGTTTTGGATTTGTCGGCGGGTTGGCCGCTGTAGTCTACCGCATCAGCCACCGTCCAACTCCCTTTGCTCTCCTGGAAACCACCACATCAATCATTAGTCCCCCAATCTTATAACAATTAATTTACAAGTGAGATGAAAAAGATTATCCATACCATTTTTCTTCTATTTCTTCAAGTATTTCCTTGATGAGAATAGTCTTAATTTCTGCTAAGTGTTCTGCTCTTTGTAAGCCACAGAAGCAAATAATTATGGAGAGGAAACTGCCCTTTTATAGCCACAAAATAATTGAAAGAGAGGGGTTGAGAGCTCGCACCGACCTTCCACTATATGTGACTCGAGATGTATCACGAAATGGGAAGTCTTACAGACAGGTTCATCACACTTTTTTCCCAACTTTCTATCATTTCTTTACTTGTATTTTTCGAAATTTATTTTGGCTGATTTCTTACCTTTTTGTCTATTTGGCCATTTGTTGTAAATTTTTTTTTTCAATTAACTACCAGTCTACCACCCTCGTGATTACTTATTTCTTTGACCCAATGGCACTATACACACAGGGAACTACGGACCATGAAAGCAACACCTGCATTCCATAAAAAAATATTTGGTGATATCAATCAAAGATTCTCCACGAGGTTCTCTACGAATTGTTTCCAACTTTCCTTTTTCTCCTTATCCACAAAATATTGAACAATTGCACACAACATCTTATTTTTTATCTATTACATATTATCTGAGAAATAATATTATTAAAAATAGTTTATTTGTCAATACTACAGCCAAAGTTAGTGCTTTTAATTGATGACATGTAAATGTGATATGTCAAACATCCTAAAATAAATGAAATGTTCTGATTAGTTGAATTAAAATCAAAGAAATTCTAGAATTAAAACATAAATACATTAGATTATATTTATAACACTTAAATTAATAAATTTAAATTAACAGAAAATAACAATTATAATAATTATATCTTTTACATATATTCATAATTTCATAAAATAAAAATTACGAATTTTTTCAACAATATATATATATTATAATTTCATATAAAAAGATAAAATAATACTAAATTATCCAATAGAATAGTAAAAATTTTATATATTAATAATACTTCACCTATGATATATTTTTATTTTGGAAAGTTATTAATTTACAAAATATAGTAATAACATCTAAACAAGTTTTAAATAAACAATTTATTAAATAATATAATTTTAAATTAAATAAAACCATGATAAAAAATAATCTATATAATAAAATGTTAAAAAATAAAAAAATATAATTAACTCTCATTGACATTTTTTAAAAAACATAATTTAAAATAATTTTTCTTTTCAAACCAATATTTAGTAAATGAATAACTATATTCTAATTATTATTTTATAATATTAATAGGAACATATATTTTTCTATAACTTTTGTCATCTTTTTATTGTTATTTTTCTATAACTTAAGTTACCATCTCATCTTATCAGTTATCATATTTTAAATAAAAATAAAAATTTATATCATATTCCTCTATATATAAATAAACATAAATTTATTTTCATTGTATATCAAAAATTTGAGATTATAAATGAAATAAAAAATAATCGAACGAAAGAATAAATAAAATAAGATGAAACAAATATGAATAAGAAATAAAAATAGAAGTATATAAAAATAAATCTCTCGTACTTTGTTTTACAAAGTCACTTAAAAACTTTTTAATACGTAAGAGCCATATTTCGACATTTTTACAAATACACGTAGAAACATAAATATTAATTGTCCATTAGTTAAGTCACATGGGAACTTTTTCGTACATATATTTTATTAAGCTTGATTACAGTCTAATTTTTATTTTGATTATTATATAATTTATATTTTTTAAAAAATTATCTATTCTAAATGCAGTGAAGTGGTTAGTATGTCCGCACATGCGTGCCAACCATCTATCCGCTCTTAGAAATAAGTAAAAATTGTAAAAAATATTTCAGTTTAATTTACAATAAATCAAAAAAAATATATACTTAAAATATATTATTCATGTATTTGCAACTTCATATTATATAAGACGCAAAAAGCATATTGTAAATTGTGTAAAGAGAAATAAAGCATATTATAAAAATATTCAAAAAATATTATAAGAATTTAATTTTTATTTAATATATCTTTTATATTTGTGATTATATATTATTACAAACATTATACAAATAAAAAGTTTTAAAATACATTGGTTTCAGAAAGAAGTTTGTAAAATATTAAAACAATAGATATATACAAACATACCAATGTTTGAAAAAAACTAATCAATACTTAAATATTATAATTAACTATGTATATTAAAAAAATTATACCCGCACATATGTGCGGGCCAACCACCTAGTAGCTAAATTAAAGAAGTAGTAGAAAAATGATAAAAAAATATAGTTATTTTACATAACAACATTATATATGAATGGGAAGACAGGGGAATAAAGTTGTTCATATGAATGGGATAATCGAGAGAGAATTTACAGATTGTGTATGCTAACCGTCAAATTAATAACTCTCCACACAAAACTTTATTATTCTCTATATATTAATTGAAAAGCATTTTTACAAACTATAAAAAACCTCATTTTTGTAATACTTATTGTGATGCCATTTTATTTATGTATCACTACCACATTCATTCTCAAAAATATATAAAAATAGTTTTAATTTACCAGATGAATTCTAAATATTATTTGACAAGCAGCTTTAATGAAAAAACTGATGTGTCGCAACCAAAAAAAATTAATGATGACCTGGTAATATGACATGATAATTTTTCTAAAATAAACGAAATGCTTTGATTGTTTAAGTTAAAACAAAATAAACATTCTTTTAAATAAGAAAATAAAGTTTATATCATATGTGAATATATTATCATTATATAGAAAGAATTCAAAATTATAAATGAAACAAAAAAATAAACAGAGAGAAAAATAAATTATAAGTATTCTCGTAGCAAATTATTTTTAATAGTACTTTATATATGAATAAGAAGTAGAAGTAAAAGTAAAAATGAGTCTCTATGATTTTGGTTTTTTTGTAAAAATCTCAAGCTATATTTTGGGTTTAAAGCATCTCCAACCCACTTATATTTTAAATCTTCTAATTTAGAGAAAAAATAGAAATGTTATTTTTTTCCTCAATAATTGGATGAAAAAGTAACAATCTTTCTTTTTCCTGTAAAATAGAAATAGGTTGGAGAGAAATCCACCTATATTTTAAAAGAAAAAGTAGAAAAATACATTGAAGATGATCTAAATGTTTAATATATTATTCAATGTTAAAAAAAAAATATGAGTCAAATAAGACAAAAAAATAAAGAAGAATAATTTTGAATGATTTTATGTTTTTATTTGAAATATTTAAAAATATTATCTTACACATATTAATTCTTTCATGCATATGTTTTTTTAACATATTAAAACATTATTTCAGGAATCAAGTTTTGTATATGTTGTGATCCATTATATTTTATATTAACAAGTATATTGATAGTAGGATTTTTTATTAACAATTAATCTCTACTAGTCATGTCATTGTAGTATTTGAGATGTCAATCCAAATGGGATTTGTTGTGAACACCAAGAATGCATAAAGGTTCTTAATCCAAGCAAAACCAATAAAGTTGTTTCTATCAATCTAAATGAACAAGAAAATAATATTTATAAGAAATAAACTCAAACACTTAAGCAAAAGCAAAAATAGAGCAGTTACTAAACAAGCTTAGACAATAAAGGCAAATAGGTCATAAGATGGGGTAATTGAGTTAAAGTGACTCTTTAAGTGGTTAATGATGTTCATACAATCATAATGATGATAATCCTTATGCATAAAGCTCTTAAGCAAGATTAATCCACTTTCATGGCACTAATCCTTTTGTTAATTACATAATTAAGATATAATTCTCATTAGTAAAAAGATAATCAACAAGCATTAACAACTAGTTCTATAAAGCCAATAAACACCTTAGACATCTATTCCCATAGGCTAAATATGCAAATCTCTTAGATGATTCATTCAGGCATTTCATCAAACACTTTCAATGCATGAAAAGACATAAGTTCTAAACCAACATGATCAACAATAGTGAAAAGGTAATCAACAAGCATTAACAACTAGTTCTATAAAGCCAATAAACACCTTAGACATCTATTCCCATAGGCTAAGTATGCAAATCTCTTAGATGATTCATTCAGGCATTTCATCAAACACTTTCAATGCATGAAAAGACATAAGTTCTAAACTAACATGATCAAGAAATGTTTAGCATTAAGAACATCAAATAAGAAAGGATATGAAAGAATCTAGCTCTAAATATCAAAGATCAGTCATCAAATCACCCTAATCTAACCTATTTTTAGATCCTGATGAAACTACTCACTAATGATGAAAGCAAAGATAAACATGATACAAGACATTATTAACATAAATTAGGAAAAGATTAAGAAAACTTCAGTAGATCAAGAAGAAAATATGAAAGATCCAACACAAATCACAAGAACAAGGGTTTTTAACTAAGGAGGCAAGAAAATCTAAAACATAAGATAGCTTAGGGTTTTTTTTGGCTAAAATTGTATTTATAGGTGGCTAAAACAAACCGGGTCGATCCAGAATAAACCGGGTCAGATCCAGCTTACACCAGAAAGTGGCCTATCTAGAGCATATGGGCAGCCTTACGGGTTCCTTACACTATACTTCCAATCTACAATTTATCATCTATTCAATTATTTACATGCAAAATGAAACCCAGTTTGTTGCGTATTGAAACCTTGGCTAGTGAGTATTTGTGGTTTATAGACAGTATATTGTTGTTGGAGCTGGATTTAGCACCCTAAATCCGGCCCACTCAAGCCTAACAGGCAGATCCAAACTAAGCCAAATGGACTGGGCTTTGACCCTACGGCCCAGACCCATTCACTCTCAACGATCCAATCCTGAACGACAAAACGTCCCGTTCGACGAGGTCGAGCTCCAGTTCGACCAAATCCCGAGAAACAAGGAAGGATCTGAGCCAAGTCAAAGCATATTCTCGCCAGTTCAAACGAGTCCGAACTTCGCGGAGGAAGCTGCTGCACGTGGCGAGACTTCCGGCTGAAGCTGCTGACGTGGCCGAGATACGCGCTGAAGGTTGAAGCTCGATAAGACGAGCTATATAAAGAGATGAACGGCTTAGTTTGGGGGACCTTCGGCTTGATCTTCTTCTACACTTTTTACACACGAAAACCCTGTAACTGCTCTCAGAGCTCTTTTCAGTTCATCTTTTCCATCGAAATCTTTGTAACCGTTTCATTCAACTGATTAATATCAAGTCCTTATCTTAGTTAGTGCTAGCTTATACAGTCGATCTGTTCGAGAGAATCTAGCCTTTAATTCTCCTAAGTTCTTCCCTTACAAAAACACATAAATTTCTGAGTGTAGATTTCTGTGTCCACATTTTGGCGCCGTCTGTGGGGAAGATCTATAGATTTTTCTTACTCAAGAGCAGATCCTAAGCCAGCTGAACCCGAAATGGATTCAACTCAACAAACCTCGGGAAATGTCTCACCGATTCAGATCTCTCCAGATCAA